GTTGGCGATAGGGAAACTCTAAACGTGGACTCCATAGAAATATTCGCTTATATAGCCTGCAAATCGTTAGGATACTCAGGAGCGTTGGATACAGATGGATTCGATTCAAAATATATTCCAAACTTCCTACTTGACAACTGCTTTACGACTTTTGCTTGTCCATCAGTTAACTCAAGATTAGAAGATTGCTCTACCAACTTCGAGAAATGTGGGGAAAAAGTCAGCATGTTCACAACTAAGTGCTATCACGAGCGGCTTCCCTTGGAAGTTTCTTACACACTGAGAGATGATGAAATGGATCTAGTTGAATACTACGGTGTCTTGTCCGGGAGTTACATTCTGGAAGGAGCTAAAATGTCTGGCACAATCTGTGGAAAAAACTTTAATGTGTCGTCAGGAGATGTTCTGTGCAAAAAAATGGGATACGATTACTTCGTAGGCTTTGAACTCAACGTAGGATTGATCCATTTTAACGATGGAAATGATTTCATCGACACAAAAATCATAATTGATGAAGTCAGGTGCTTTGAGAACTCCTCATGTGACTACATAGTTAGAGAACCCAGCATCTGTTCTCACGACCAAGATATACTTCTGAGGTGTGGTTATAATGATCAGGAGCACACTTTGCACTTTCACCTCATGTCTGACGTTCACGCTAAGTCAACTCAGGACTTCTCTATGGCTGCTGGTCTGCTAGTTGCGGAATTGCGGTGGGAGAACTCACCTGAGTCCGAGACCAAATCCAGGATGGGAATTGTCTGTGATGATGATATGTCTTTGGAAACGGCCGACTCTATTTGCCGGTACATGGGCTTTCATAAAGTTGATGCATTTTCCAACAACATGTATGAACCGTTTATATCAGACGCGACTTTGAAAGAGGGATACGTTTTCCTGTTGGACGATGTCGAGTGCAATCCTGGAGTGGATGTAGATTGCCCCTCGTACAACTACAGAAATCATGACTGCAAAGAAGAAGAGGCAGTCAACCTTTGGTGTGGCTATAATGCAGATAATTGCGAAGATATCCACTTGAATGGCTACCTGAAAACACAATGCAAACACCCAGACGTGCCTACGAAGCTGGTGTACCGATGTCCGAGGAGTGACCTGTACTACAGTGTTTTGGAGACCAGTTGTCATTCAACTCGTTTCTCGGATTTCTGTAAAAATGACCCTTCCTTTTATCAGGTGTGTGGTCATCGGCCTTTGGGCTGTGAGAATGAAGAAATCTTTGTTAGCAGCAATATCTCTTGCAGTTCTTATGTCTGTCAGGCAGGCTTTGAGGTCAAAAGTGGAAACGCAATGATCTTATCCACCCGCTGCAACGGAAAACTTGATTGTGACAATTCTGAAGTGGATGAGACTGACTGTGAAGACTCCTCTGAGACTGATGAAATACTGTGCTACAATTCCGGGTCAATACATTACAAAGAAGATGACAAGTGCAACAATGTGTGTGATTGTGCTTGGTGTGACGATGAAAGTGACTGCAATGACTATCAGTACGGCACAAAGTGTGACCACCCTTATGCTTTCTCTGAAGGATCATTGGAGGTCAGATCTGTTTCGAGAGTGGTGCCCCCCACTTGGATTTGTGACGGTGTTATGGATTGCCTCCATGGTGATGATGAACTGGACTGCCTGGATGAGGGTGACCAATTCGACTCTTGCCACAGATCAAAACATTCAAATACAGATCAAAAGATAGGTTTGAATGAATTAAACAGATGTTCTGTCGAAAGTGAACTGTTTGGAAAAGTATGTGATAAGATGATTTCCATTCGCAATACAACTGCGCAGATATGACACTCCAGGTTTTACAGTGCTCTAAAAAGGCCCAGCCTGTTACTGTGTCCTCTCATTTCGTGTGTACTGATCGCAGTTTAACGATGCCACCGCTGTGTGATGACGGCGTTGATAAGTTGTGCGATTCACCTGAATCAAAATGCACAATCCACAAGCATCAAAATTGTGACGGTATCGACGACTGTAATGGGAGCGCGGATGAAAACAGGATGCTCTGCAAGAAGATGACTTCACAGTTCACTTGCAGAAGGAAATTCATTGGCAAAGGGTATCGGGACCGTATGATTCCCTACAGTTGGGTCTTTGATGGTGTAGAGGACTGTGAGGATGGCAGTGATGAGGTTGACGTTAATTTTCCCAAAACCTGTGGCACTGGTAATGAGATGCGGCGGGTACAAAAAGAGAAAGATTGCGCTGCCCGGGACCTCGCTTCGTTCAAGTGTTTCGCGTCTGGAACTTACATTGATTTGTCCTATGTGTGTGATAGAATAGAGAGCTGCGGGAATGAAAATCGTATATGCGAGGTATCAAGAAATGTGGCTGTGGTTTTCTCAAAGGTTCATGAAGATGAAAATAATACTAAGGACCTCAGTTACTGTTTGCCAGGACTCAGGGATTTGAATTTCTTAAAAGGTGGGTGTGTTGAAGAGGAGTTTGCTCATCCGTTTCCTCTTCTAGGTGTGAGTCAGGAGACTATACGCCGACCGAGATCGGAGGGATAGACTGTGGGAGCGTGTTTGGTGAACTTTACGTTTACCTCAGCTGTAGTGACCAGTGTGTCAAGTCACCTTGCCCACTGACACCGCTTGGAGACCCAACATCCTGCTCTAATATTGAAGACACTCCTACGATTAGCCATGTTATGGCTTTGAATAATGACTTACTTACCACATCCAAAGCGTTTATCGTCTCGAAGAAAGGTAACGTGCATGTGCAGAACAACTTTTTTCGTTGCGATAACGGTTTCTGTGTCGAGTACAGTAAAGTTTGCAACCTGGTCAATGACTGCGGCGACGAATCGGACGAAGAAATTTGTAACAACAATTTCCAGTGCCGTAATGGAGATTTCGTTCCGAGATCTAGTAAATGTGACGGTCGTCCAGACTGCCTTGACCTGAGTGATGAATGTAACGACGAATGCACTAAGGACATAGTGGACCAAATATATCTCATCATAATTTCATGGATTATTGGCGTTTTGGCCTGCCTTGCAAACTTTGTCATCATCGTAAAATCTATCTATGAATTCAGAGGGAACTAAATCTGCAGCTGCGATGATGAACAAATTGCTGATATTTTTCATCTCAGTGGGGACTTCTTGATGGGAATTTATCTAGTGGCTATAGGTGTGATCAGTACACAATACAGGCTGAACAATGACAGGCTAATGTATTGTAAGTCTGAGTTTGCCTGGTTAACGAGCTGGCAGTGTGCAACCCTAGGTGTGATGAGCTCTTTCGGATCTGAAATATCGCTCATATCAATGACTGTTCTCAGCATTTCTCGACTTCTTGGCATACGATCCGTCTTTGCACCTCGCCATTTGTCGATGAAAACGCGGATGAAGCTGCTGGCCCTTGTCATCGGGATTATTACCATTTCAATACTCATCGCGGTGGCACCGTTATTTGATATGTTCGAAGATTTCTTCGTGAATGGTTTGTACTATGAAGACGTTCCCTTGTTCATTGGTGCTCCGAACATAAAAGAACATCTGGCCATTTTGAGTGAATATTTTAGTGTTCAGACCTGGCCTGACAAATGGGCCAGCTGGGACAAAATAAGACCTTTAGTCCGTGATATGTTCAGCTCTTATTCTGATGTGGTTGGAAAGAAACAGCACTTTTATGGCAATGACGGCGTTTGTCTTTTCAAGTTTTTTGCTGACAACGACGATCCACAAGCAAGCTTCATCTGGGCCATCCTTGGATTCAATTTCATGTGCTTTGTCATCATCACTGTTTCTTACATTTTCATTCACTTCTTCTCTGCTCAATCTACGAAAAGTGTTTCGAACAATGTTGGAAACAAAGACATGCAGAAAAGAAATCAAAAGCTGCAACGAAAGATTTCGCTCATAATCCTGACAGACTTTTTGTTGCTGGATCCCTCTCATTCTGATTTGCGTTCTTCACTACACCAAAGTTTTGGAGCTCTCCAACCTCTATCCGTTCTTTTCGACCCTCATCCTTCCAATTAACTCCGTCATAAACCCTCTGTTGTATGACACCACTGTTGGTGACCTTTTATCAAAAATGTGCGTAAGATTCAGGCGTAGACCTAGACCAGGACAAGCCACTTTGAATACAACTCTTGCGATGTCTAACCAGTCTACAGGAGATTCAATCCCAATGCAGACACTTCCTCGCAGTGTACCTGTTAAACCGGTTCCATTGGTTGACAAGTTGCGGAACAGGGCTTCTAAAGGGAAATCTAAAGTTCCCAACCTTGTGGTTGCAGTTATTGATGAAAATTCAATTTCTTCAAGCCACGAAGTTGAAATATCTCAACATGGTTCTGAATCTCCGAAGATGGTTAATACAGTTGACTTTGTTGAACAAGTACAAGTGATGGTGATGAGCGATTCAGGCACGTTCACAAGAACCCAATTTGAAACGAATATTGAAAAAATAAAAGATGCATAATTTTTTAATTTTTTTAGAAATTACAGGATTAAAAGCTTTTGATTTAAATATCTTTGGTACAACTTAACACGCACACAAACTACCGTGATGTTTGATGATTTGAACTTAGTTAAAAAATAATTTCGTGATTATATTATGATTAATTGGCAAAATGTCTGACATGTTTTTCTTGTTCGATGTTGTTCTGAAATCATTAAATTTGAATTGACAAGAAAAGTTTCAAGAAACATCTTATTCCATTCTATACGAAAAGAAGACACCACCAACTTATAATTTCCAAAATTAAATTTGGCATAAGCTCAATTATTTTAAATTCAATAAGCAATCTTCACACGGACGATTCCTGGTGACCATCAACGATCCCAATTATCATCTACTCTTCTTGAATCGTGAACTATTAACACAGCGACCCTGGTGTCTGGACTAAGAAGCTGAAACATTGTGTTTATACCTCAGTCTTCACAATTTTTGAATGTAAAGTAGGTTCATGATAATACTTCGCAAATTGTATTTTCTTTATGAGTAACAAGTTCTTTTTTTCAGCGTTCGACATTGGTATGAGTTCCATAATTCCAGAAGCCGAAAAGATATTCGAAAGGTAAGTAATGTGTACAATAAAAGTACAATGGTTTCTATAATCAGATGTTTTTCGTTTCTAGTATCTTCTGAACGGTCCACTCTGTTTCCCTAAACTAAACCCGCGTCTCCACCAGTGAGAACTGTCCCGAGTTAGATCTGGACGGATGCCAGGGTAAAACCTTCCTCCGGGTCCTCCTTCATCTGGCGATGCACGACTACCTGGACCTGGTGTCCGGGGCTCTCCAACTTCTCCTCAGACACTTCTCCCAGAGACAGGAGGTCCTCCAGGCTTTTAAACAGGTAACAATTAGGTGGAGAGAATGTGAACCACTAGTGAACCTCCTGGCTGTCATTGTTAGTCATGTTCTTAATAATAATATCCCTCTTTTTTTCCCGAGATTTTTATTTTTATTTTGTAACGTAAAATGTTTGTCAGGTACAACTGCTGGTATCACAGAGCGATGTAGAGAATTACACTCAAATCAGAACCGATCTTGATAAATTGCGGCTTATGGTGGAAAAGAGCGAACTTTGGGTCTACGTTGGTACGTTGAAAACTTTAATCTTGAGCTATTTGTTAAATACCAGATAGCTGTTATAAAGCCTCAACCTGAAGTCAACAGATTATCCTCCAACTGCTCAGTTTTGTCACCGAAACCCAATCTCCGAAGTCATTACTAAACAAATGTTTGTGCCAGGTGGAAAGGGACCAAAAGGGGAGTCAGCACACGCGGAAACCTCCCTGGGTGCGAGCAAAAGCGGTGATGCAACGTCTATAGCTGCCTCTGAGTGGAGCATTGATCTGGACTCTTCCTCCAGAGATGCCCCCTATGAGAAGAACTTCCAGCAGATCATACAGGTTCCAATCTTATACTTTAAATTTCAAATTTAAAAACTGTGGAGCTTATTAACTCAAAGTAAATAAATTTCAATCGTGTAATTTCTGGTAACATTTTATAATTGCAGCTGCTGAAGCGCCTCACCGACCTGTGCGAACAAAGGGACAAGGACGGTAAGAATGTCAAACATCAGAAACACGAACAGAGGTTGTTGAAGAATCTGGGGGCACACCAAGCCGTCCTCGACCTCTTACAAGTACCTCACGACGAAGTAAGAGCATCCCGCCAGCTACTTTTTTACTTTGTTATTAAAGTATTTATAACCCAGTACCCCCCCCCCCCCCCCACTAACACCCCAATGAAGACTCTGTTAATAACGTGTACCCCGCAGAAGGACCCGAACATGCAGGATGTGATGTCACATGCCCACTACTTCCTACAGGCGTTCGTGCGGAACAACCCCCAGAACCAGGCTATCCTCCACATTAATGTAGAGAGATTCTTAGTGCCTGGTTTGTGGGATTCAGTTTTTTGCTTATTTTTAATTAATTTTTCATTATGTAAACATGCTTGTGTTGAACGTTACAAATCTTAAGTTTTTGTTTATCGTGGCGTTTACTGACTCTGTAAAAGTTCTGTATGTAAAATTCTTGTCACTCTTCAAGTAGTGCGTAGATCGCTGACTTCTCTAAAATCACCAAATCTTAGGTAGAGCACCGACAATAAGTTCTAATTTCCTAAGTTCAATATCTGAACCCAAAACTGACACCCCACCCCACTCCCAGGAGTAAACGAGGCAGTGACCGCCACAGCAATCTTCAAAGACAACGTGCAGCTGTGTCTGTGTGTGACGGACACTATAATACAGCACTACGTGCGGTGTATAGAGAGTGACGGTCTGCACGTGGAGTACCTGGTGTTCCTTCAGACTGTGGTTAAGAGTGAGGGACAGTTCTTGAGGAAGTGCCAGGACATTGTCATGCAGGAGGTAAAGGATGGTTTTTACTGATTATTTCAAATTTGATATAATGTGACTGTTCTCTTTTGTGGTTATCTCAACTTATAGTTGAAGTTGACAACATTACGCATAGAATTTGATTATAAAGCGTTAAGGATTTTAGTTTTTGCGTTTGGTATAGTTGAAAGCGATTAGCGTATTTCATTGGTCACTTCCGCGAAGTGCGAAGTTATATTCGAGTCTCTTTCTTCTGCCAAAGGTCTTGTTAAACCTTTAAAGTTTCAATGAAACCTTCCCTTTTGTAGTCATTAGCCAAGGCTATTATTGTCAACCCCTTAACAATATTAGCCTCAAGTCTCCCCCTGTAACACTGCATAGTGCATATTTAAAAACACCAACAAGTAACAAAACTGTCAATTAACATTCATTTAACACAATTATTAACTGACAATATTGAAATACCCCATTGTTTAACAAGCATTCCATCCAGCTGTTACAAGCGGGTGAAGAGGTCATGTTGCTCTACAACGACCGACAGAGTTTTAACCAGCTTGTCCAGCTGATGACGGATTACCGGGAACACCCAACTCCTCACTCTCCCCTCCACTACCACATTCAGCTGGTACACCTTCTCAGCGCCTGTACTGAGGGCAAGAATGTGTGAGTATTATCAATGTTCATGTTACGTAGGGTTATATGTCAATTTAAGGAGTGCCACGTGTTGTGCTAAAACCTGGCCGAACATTCTGTGCTAGCCCCCATTCGGTGATGTTATTCTGTGCTAGCCCCTATTCGGTGATTTTATTTAAGTCGGATAAAGAAGGGCACTGGCTTGTTAGGCGGGCAACTTTTTAAAGTGCAGTGTATTGGTTTTTGTAGCCAGTGAGTGACAAATCGAGCAAGTTCACACGGATTGCTGAGTTAATGTGTTGAAAGTATGTAGAAGTGTAGCAAGTTCACACGGATTACTGAGTAAATGTGTTGAAAGTATGTAGAAGTGTAGCTATAGTACAGCCGTCCACCGAACTCAGTTCAGTTTGGGTACTTTAAGGGACGCTTGTAGGGCTGCTGTATTCTGCACTTAACCAAATTTACTGCAGGTTTATGTGTAGGCGGCACTGTATTAATTGTTTGACAATGGACATATTATATCAAGGGCGGTTATGTTTTATTCTAGAACGTTCCTTAAAAATGGCTTTTTATCAACCAGCAGGTCAGAGGGGTCAGCATCCTTCTTTGTTTGAAATTTAACAAATTCTATAATCTATACTGCATGAGGATGACTGAAAGGTGTTTCGAAACTGGCCAAAATGCTGACCCTTGTAATTGTCACACAGTAGCCGAGCGTTACATTGCTAATGGAGTGAGTCTGGAGTCTGAAGATGGAGTGCAATATTACTGACATTTAGTTACGTTGATCGCTTATGTTAAGATCCAGTTCGTCAATAACGCTCTACACTGCAAATGTGCTCAAATTGTGAGTGTTCTAATATTCCAGGTACACCGAGATAAAGTGTCACTCCCTCCTACCACTGGACGAGATAGTCCACATAGCGACCCACCAGGACTGCATTCCTGAGATCAAGATAGCATATGTTAACTTCCTCAACCACTGCTACGTTGATACTGAGGTAAAATTATGTGTGATTATTTTTTGATAGTTCTGGTTTCTGGTGCAGGTGAGGCGAACCATGTTTTTCTTTTTTCAATTGATTGATAAGTATGATCTTTGAAGTTTTTTGTCAGGATGTAAGGACCACATTTTCCCCTTTCGTTCAATGCTATAACAGGTCATGGTGTACACTGAAGAGCTTTCAGGACACGGCCCATTCGATGATTCTTTTTAATTTTTGGAGGTTCTGGCATAATCACGGAGGGTGTTCCTCCGTGCTGAGCTTGCACCTTATTTCTAACATAATACGTCTGACTACTCCCCTGACGTAGCTTAATTAACAGTTAACACCCAACAGACGAAATAATATTTCACTAATGAATATTTTTGACTCAATAAACTTGGAGATTAAAATTAGAATGTTCAAATCCAGAGAAACTAAAAGTATTGAAATTGCTAAAACTTTTTGCTCATAAACTTCTGCTTGTAGAATAACAGTATTAAAATCACAATCAGTCTTTTTTCATCTAAATGATTTTATATTTATTTTCAGAATTATTAATAAAATAGTCACACAAATTCTAATACTTGCGACCGTATAAAACCCTGGGTCTGTTTGTACATTGATCCATCAAATTGTTACTTTGAAACGGAATCAAAAATGCTGCATTTAAACCAAAAATGTCAACATTCTCTTCTAGGAATAAAAACTGCCCTACGCAATACTTTTTCCTTAAGGCTCTGCTATTAACAATAAAAAACTAATCTAATTTTTTTCTTTTTCTTTCTCGTATACGGTACTAAACTTCCCTACGATGATGGTCATGGGGAGGGCCAAGAAGACAATTCCCATAGTGAGGACCAGACTTCCGACTGCCTTGCCTAGCCAAGTCTCTGGGGCAATGTCCCCGTAACCTATGGTTGTTATGGTAACGATGGCCCACCAGCAGCCCTGCATTATGGTGGAAAATTTATCATTCGAGGTGTGTTCGATGTAGTACATGAGACTGCCAAAGCTGACCGAGAAAATGAAGAGTAGAAGGATGAGGAGACACAGTTCCTTCTTGGCGTGGCCAACCACTTTGATGATCATGATAAGATCCTGTGAATGTCTGATAAACTTGAAAACCCTGACTATTCTGAAAATTCTGCAAACCCGCAATACCACATAACTTTTGTGTTCGTTACTGGACGGGGATGTGGGATCTTCGAATGCTTCAGCGAGAAGGCTCACGTAAAACGGCAGGATTGATAGGATATCTAGGATGTTAAATAAGTTCTTCCAAAAGTTAATCAACCCCGGCCAGGTGATGAATCGTATCAATAGGTCGGTTGTGAAAAATGCAATGACGAGAACGTTTAGACCAAAAAGATACTTGTAGGCAGGATGGCCCTCCGAGAAGGCATCCTTGACGTTTTCATCAGTTTCCATGATTAAGAGGGTTATGGATGTGCAGATAAACAGAATGTCCATAATATGCCAAGCTGTGGCCCATCTTGAACACCTCGGGTCCATCAGAAACCTGTGTACCCTTTTCTTAGTTGTTTTCCAGTCACCATCGCAAAACACTGACAGCTGCTCTGGAGTTTCTCCTAGAGGTATGACCGACTCCGTGACCCTGGTCTTCATCTCTATTCTGAAGAACTTCCTTTCCGCCTCATAGATATCATCATCCACACTCAGTGGTCTGAACTCCCTACCTGTTTGATAGAATGTCAGGATGGATTCGAAGCAGTCCCGGTTCCGGTTGAAGTAGTAGGATTTAAGCTCCGGGATCCAGTAGAGCTCCTTAGCTTGGGAGCCCAGGAGAGTAAGAGGGTACTGTTGGAGGCAGGAGTGGGTGGTGATGTATTGTTTCCCGCTCACGTTTATGTAGCACAGGTCTGCTGCGTTTGTCTGTGTTGGTACTAGGGAGTCCTTCCCTCCGTTGGCGTTGTTCGGGCCATCTTCGGCGTTGTTCCTGAAATTAGCAAGTGTTAGACTCTGTTTGGAATTATGAATTTTTGGGTTCTGTTACCAAAATATCTTATGGAACTTTCTGATTTAGCGGGGATAATTTGAAAAATGCTGAATTGTTGGTCATGTGTCGTAGCTATGATTATGACGGCATGCTCTAGTTTTTCAATCCTGTTTGAATTGCAGTGATTTCACCAGCGTAATTTATGAATGAAAAATCCCGCGGAACTTGCTCAGCGTGAAACTAATGCGTGATATGGAACTATGTGGGGGGGGGGGGGGGTGCGACTATATGCTCCATAGTATATAGTTCATTTGGAGTAAAAATAGAATATTAATCGTGGCTCCGTGCGTTGTTTGATCCATTGAAGCACCTATTGGGCATAATATCATCTGCACACTTTAAGTTGTATGACAATATTGGTCGCCTCAACGCTTGAAGTGACATGATTGGTCGAAAAAAAATTGAGCTTAAAACCCGGATGTTGTCAAATAACTTGAAACTTGTAATGCTTTAGTCAATTAAAAACAGAAGCGACATGAATAGGGGATAACAGAAAGATACCCACACCCACCTGCCCTATTGTACAATTCAAAGTAATATTACTCTGCGAGTGTGGGCTGTTTCATTGTCTTCCCCAAAATACAAGGAATGATCTAATACTCAGCTGTTTTTACTGTTTCAACATAAAACACCCTATAATAGAAGTAATTCTCTCCAATAAAATAGAAATGATGGACGTGGTCTTAGATCCTAACAATAAACTTGATGTACCTTAGGATATGAGAAAAAATAACAAATAACCGCATACTTAACAAATGTTAAAAGTCCGTATTTGGGTTCGCCTGAATACATTCTGGATGTAATGAAACAGATCTGAACTGAAGACGTCTGAAACCGAGTTTAACTCTAAACACTAAAAACTGGAAAACACACGATAGACAACGAATTGAGAACAGAGTTAAAATCGGTACCTGACCACCTCAAGACGCTGACGTAAGAATTCCTCTAAAGCTGGTTACGGAAGTTGATTTGGAACTGCAAATTTGATTTCCTTGCTATGTAAATTAATTTACAGTTAATCTTTCAGTTAATCTTTCGGTCATACATCCGACGGCACTGTCGTTGCACTCATAGTGCCACGAGAGTGCCACGAGAGTGCCACGAGAGTGCCACCAGGATACAGATGTATGACCAATCTTTCGGGTACCGGGAATTGAGATGACTAACTTAGCTCATGTTCATTCGCCCCGTTAGTAATTAACCTTCACGTCTCAATACAAAATAAGAAATTATGTGCTCTTAAATTGCGTTACCACAACTCAGCTGTGCCCCAAATTTGATGATATTATTTATTTTACGGGAAGCATCTGTCCAATTGCTCCGAGATTGCTAGGGCAACAAATCAGATTTTCAAGTAAGATGAGGAAGACTGCAGCTAGTTTATATATTGTGATAGTTCTACTGGCTCTAAACTCTAACATCTGAAGTTATGGACGGATAGTATTGCCTCTTTGAGTCATAACAAAAGGATTAAAACCCCTCAAAGTAAAACATAACTAATATGGAAATTATCCGATCAAATCATTGCTACTATCACGTTAACTTTGCGAAACAAACTAATAAGTAATGGAAGAGCCTCGGAAACTATAAAAATCAATGAAAAAGTCTATTAAAAACAAGAAATAATAAAGAAACAATAAAGAAATAATAAAGAAATAATAAAGAAATAATAAAGAAATAATAAAGAAATAATAAAGAAATAATAATATCACGAACACACACTAATAACCACCAAAACTCCCCTCTACGAAACCGTTTGACCTGAAGTGGTAATAAGTATGATCTGGATAGAGGATGTGTGTAGAAATACTCACGTTTCACTGGTGACGTCACGGGGCCCACTGGTGACGTCACGGACCCCACTGGTAAGGGAACGGTTCAGATTCGCATTGGGACGGTATCCCGACTTGAACATTTGTCTGACTTCTGAACAAACATTACAAGGCTAACATGCTATCAGTATCAACAATAACTGGCAACGTAAATTGTATATCTTTACTCGTCATATGGAACCTAAAATGTCGGATAGGTATTTGAGAGATTCCGTTATGAGTGTTTACGTGGTGGGCATTGAGGCTGTTTTACACAACTTAGTTTTTCTAAGAAGATTATGGGGACCTCAAATCAGGCAGCGCGACAGATTACGGCTCCCCCATCCTCTTCACTGAAAAAACGAGGGAATTATATGGTACCCTTCTTGTCCAGGTCTGAACTGCAACCCCATTACAAGTTTTCAACAGTGGGAGGTGCGAAAAGAAGTCGTGGCTGGTGTTAATTATCGAGGCACGAGTGTCGGGAATTGATACCGTGTTATTGCCTATATTTGTACCGCACTCTAGTCCTGTCTCTAAACGCTATACATCATAATAACAAGTTATAGGGCAGCTAAGAAAATGTTTTTGAGTGCTTCAAAAGCTTGTGGGGAATGAGATTTCTCCCAGAAAGTGCCAGCTGATAGAGTGAAGTGAATTAATGCTTTTTTGCTAGAGTATTTTCTGAGTAATTCTCTATAATCTAGATTGTAAGATTGGCGTTAGATTATTTCTGAGCATTCAAAGTCTCCTTGTCTCCTCTTTAAACTCCATCTCAATGGTATGCTCAACTGTAGTGTTGTCAGTTGAAGTCAGCCCCTGAGATCACCAAACATTACGCCTCCTTCTCGTCATTTATGCCATAATATGTGCATCTTATTTTATCATTATCATATTCCTTCCTCAGTTCAGGGGCTAACAACTAACAACACCTCTCTGACTTACTCCTCCCATAAGTAGCTGTAAGGAGTGACCACTGAGCGACTCCTAGTCTCTGTTGTGCTCCTCCTACGCGGTCTACGAGGCATCTTCGCACTCCCTGGCCCTCGCCTGGCCCTTAGTCGACATATTTCGTACATGATGACTAGCTTGTGTGAGACCAGATCATTGGTTACACTCTAACTTAGTTTTTGGGCCAACTCCTGTTTCTCTTTTTCTCTCTCTCCTTTTGTCTCTCTAGGTCTGATATCTCGGCTCTGATCAGATCAAAACTTTAAATGCCTGCTGAAATTAAAAAGTTTAAAATAGATCTACTCTTCGTGAATGGAGTTTATCTCAAATCGCTATTTGCAAAAGGGCCGACTCTAGATCAGATGGTCTGTGCCAAAGCAATTCTAGATCAGATGATCTCTATGTCAGACCAATTCTAGATCAGATGATCTCTATGTCAGACCAATTCTAGATCAGATGATCTGTGCCAAAGCAATTCTAGATCAGATGATCTCTATGTCAGACCAATTCTAGATCAGATTATTTGTATATCCGATCAATTCAAGCTCTAGATAAGAGTATTGCTACATTAATGTTGATTTGATGAACATATATTAACAGATTCAGCCAAGAAAGCCCATGAAAACGCGGTTTATGGTCAGTTAGTAGGTCAGCCATAGGAGCGAGCACATACTAGCAATAATGGACAGCAATGTTGAAATCGTCATAATGATACTCAGCAAACCCAGATTAAGGTATACACTCGGGACAAGGTATACATTAAGGTATACACTAAGGTATACACTCGGGACACACTTACAATGGTACACTTCTAGCAAGTACCCTTATATGAGTACTGGCGCGGTGGAAATGCTTCATGATTATATTAGCTATGGGATGGTAGCGCAGTTGGTTAATCGTCGGCTCTGTAATCGTGAGGTTGCGAGTTCGAATCCCACTGCTTGCCTAGTCGTGGGGTGAGCGTCGTTGACGCTCTGCTAAGGATCCCGAGTGGTCTATGTAGCCCCACGGTTCACTCAGCCAAATGCTCGAGAAATCGGGTGTGAGGGTTAAATGAGGAGCTGTGCTTGATCAACACAGCGAAGCCTCGGGCGAAGAAAGTGTGTCATAGTGCCTTAACCGTCGCTGGCATTAGGAACGATCCTTCGGCTTCTTGTAAAGCTCTTCCTTGAAAGTGCTGGTTTACATTGTAATGCAGGTAATGCCGAAGTAAAATAACAAAGGTGGTCGACTCATTCGATGGCCTTGTTGCGTCGCAACGAATCCTCATAAGATAAGATAAGAAGATAAGATGTGTTGTCAAATGAAGTTTAACTATGAGATCACTGGAAATTAATAAAATTCAATGAAAATCAATGAAATTCAATGAGAATTAGGCCCTCTTTTTCGACAAGCCAGGGTTCCAAATGTTCTCATGCGACAATACGGCGAAAAACGGCAGATCGACAACAATTTTATAAAAGAAGAGCATGCAACAGTGAAGCAGTATAATAGTGATAGGACGAGATTGAACTGGTATTATCTTCGTATTATCTATTATGTATAGATTGATTGACAGACAATGAGAACTCATAGTCATCCGCCCTCATTGTTTCGTATTCGTACGCCAAGATGAACTACTTAATTCTGGGCATTATTCACTGTTTACATGTTCACTTTTTTCACAAAAGTTTCTCATAACTCGGAGAAGACCGCTTCTTATGGCTTAAACCCAGGTAACACAAGGGAGATTGCCGGATAATAAATCTTATTCATGAAGAATGAGGGCAATAAGTGGCGAGTGTTCTAGAAGAAGACCGTTTAACTTACCACGTGTTTTTATAGTGAATGTTGCAAGTTGGTTGAGAAACTGTCGCTGATATTCGTGGCTTGGCGCTGACAAAGGACAACAAAGGAGAAGGATGTTGATCAGAATACGGCGAATATAAAGCATCTAAATAATGACAGTCATAATTTGTTACTATTTTGTAAGGCCCTCTACAAACTTACAAATCGGTGTACTCACTGGCGGTGTTTCACGGCAACTTTCTCAATTATCGATGTTGGCACTTTGGTGCCCCAATTGATCATAGCAGGAAAACTTTAAGAGCGCCACGAAAGGCGTTCGGGACAAAACCAAATGAAAGATCGAATGCAATGCAGCCTTTTTCATCCAAATGAAGTATTATTCACATAAGC